ATAAATTAGTATAGAGAATAGTTTAGATAGTAGTATGTAATTTTTAAAGAGCCTGATACAGGCTTATAATTGTGACCGTCTGGTGTGAATAAAAATCCCATATTTAGTTTAGTTTTTCTCAGTTTACCCTTACTCCCTTCTTTTCTTTTATTTGTTTTTTTTATGTATCTCTCTATACCTTTGTGTTTCTTTTATATAGATTTTTTTTCTTTTTTTTTCACTTCTCTACAAGAAGATATCATCAGATTGGTGATATCCTATTGTAGAATGGTAGTCAGACGAGCCTCCAATAGGGTATTATCTTAATTGATCATACCTCTCTGGTGTAGCATGGTCACCTGTAGATACATGTAGATAATCAGTTAGATTATACGAGTTAACCGCAGGATGTCAGACCTGTAGCTTTAATGTTATAGCACTTCTACAAGTGGTACTTTATTAAATAAAGATATTGGTGTGATCTGCCAAAGTGAAGCAAAAAAAAAAATTTTTGTTATACTTATTTGTATCTAAATTTTTTATATATAATATTATAACAAAACTATATAGAATTACTTAGAAACTTTAAAGCTTTGATGTTTATTCTCTTATATATTAACTTTAAAGGGTTTAAAAATTCTGTGCACCTGCATAGTCATACACTCCTGTGATTGACCAATCAAAACTAATCACGTGATCACGTGATCAATCGCTCGTAACCAGCCAATTAGCATAAATTACAAATTTTATAAAAAAATTTTAAGAATTTTATTTTTTTATTATTAATAAAAAAAAAAAAAGAACAAGAAAAGAAAATAGCAAATGACAAATCACACTATGACTAAAAAAAAAAACAAAGTGATAAAAATAATATCATATTACTACAACAAAAGTGCCAACAACTAGTTTTAATATCAACGACTTCAACGACGAAATTAGCCTAGATGAAAAGAAGAGTATAATCTCCAAGAATGACGACTCCAACAAAGTTAAGCCTAAAAGAAGAGAAACGTTAATATGTACAAGAAAAACAAATACCAAAAAAACTAAAAATTACACAAACAAAAAAACTTACCTGAATCCAAGATAATTCTAATATCTCCAAGAGTGACAACTTCAATGATGAAATCAAGTCTGAAAAAAAAAAAACATTAGTAAATACAGAAAAAAAAAAAACAACTAAACAACACTTTTCCAACTTCAATGATCTTAAAGAATGATGACTTCAACAAAGTCAAGCCTGAAAGAAGAAAAGCGTTAATAAATACAAGAAAAAACAAACATCAAAAAAAAAAAAAAGAACAATAGAACCCACCATATCCAACCGAAGAAACGTGCAAGACCACTACTAAAGAAATGTGCAGGACCACCACCAAAAAAACGAGCAAGACTACTACCGAAGAAATGAGCAAGACCACCACTGAAAAAATGAGCAAGACTACCACCAAAGAAATGAGCAAGACCACCACCAAAGAAACATGCAAAACCACCACCAAAGAAACGTGCAAGACTACTACTGAAGAAATGTGCAAGACCACTACCGAAAAACATGCAAAACCACTTACCGGAGAAACATGTGAGACCATACACCAAGAAGAAAATCTAACAGCAGTACCAATGACGACACCTGTGACAACAAAAAGAAAGAAATGAGAAAGAGAAAAGAAGAGGAAAAAGAAAACAAAAGAAAGAAATGAGAAAGAGAAAAGAAAGGGAAAAAGAAAACAAAAGAAAGAAATAAGAAACGAAAAGAAAGGCAAAAAGAAAGTAAAGAGGTAAGTAGAAAAAAA